ACTACCACTACCACTACGACTAGGACGACGACGACTACTACTACTACGACGACTACTACTACGGCTACTACCAACACCGCCATCGCCACCACCGCCACCAAGCTTGAAGACCGCCGCTTGTACATCGCACGATTTGCTGTTGGGATCATGATTTTCGTACCAGGGTTTTTTCCAGCTCAGTTTGGGTTTCTCATCCCCAGCTTCTTCTGCCCGTGCCCCGGGCAGCCGCCTACGTTTTCTCATCGCGAGGAGCTACATTCCCCAGTATGGTGGGCAGCCGCACTTCGACGTGCAGGATCCGAGCCTCACGGTCTTGATGATTCTCTCACGGGGATACAACGCCCGGAGCTGAGATGCCGAGATGATGTGCGCCTCAGGCTTCAAAGCTCGAGGGAATCGACTTAAGCTCAAGGGGTGAAGCATATTTGGGTTAGATTTGCCAGGATTTGTTTGGTAGGGTGAAAGTGATACAATTGGCCGCCACGAAGGATAGGCGGCCCAGGTGGACCGCATGTGTTGTTTTCCCGCTGGATTCGCTTGCTCCGCCCAGTTGCAGACCTTGAAGTGGGAGCGCGAGGCTGGGAGAACCAGAAAACATCCAGAAATATCCTGAAGGTAAGGCTATTCTCTGACTGGCTGGCGGCTGAATCACTGCAATCCCTTGGATGTTCGATGGATTTTCCCGGGAATATGAGAGCCATCGGTGTCCCACTGGGAAGATTGTTTGTCAATGGCAGTGGGGTGAAGGAAAAATAGGTTGGCTTTCAGGTTTGCTTGAGAAGTCGTGGGGTCACTTGGTGTTGGGCCATAGGTTTGCGCCTGATTCTTCAATCAGGATTTAGATGGATTTAACATGCTCATTGAGATACTCATTCAGATACTCACAGACGTCATGCAAAGCCTGACCTCACGACCTCATGGATTCCATCCAGCTTGACGACCGTCTCTATGCGTCCTGGTTCCAGGAGGAAAGCATGGCCGACAACCTCTTAATGTGGGAGGACGACAAGGAACGAACGCCGGCCTTGGCCGACTTCGCCCTTCTTCGATCGGTCGTTGATGTGATCTGGCCTTCTTGATTTCGACTGGACTGGGGTGAACAAGGAGGTTCACATGGGCTTTTCAACGTTTTGCATGGGTCAGACGGAATTTATGGCGTATACATCGCGACGAGACCGTCAGACGTGGAGACGTGGGACCGTTGAATGGATGCTTGACGGGTGTTCTGTGAGCCGATGCTCCTCGTCACCACTGGGTTTCGTGGGATGAATTAATCTTCGCCGCAACCTGCGTCGATGCTTCTGCCAGCCCAGTGGATTCACTGTGTCGAACCAGCTCAACCCAACCACCTGCCCAAGCTCTGGCATATCCCTAAACCTTCAAGAAGAAGAATATTTGGACACTCCAAACCCACCCCAAACACCTTCTCAGAAGGTACTGTACTTGGAGACCCATGGTACATGTTTGCATGATTTTGCATGTCTTTTGCATCTCCAGAGCTTGCACATGGTTCTTAGGTTTGGAAGGGGGCCAGGGCCCCACCTGAGGCTATCAATGGGTTGCTGTGGTTTGGTGCGGTTTGGAGCATTTGCGAACGTCCTTGTGGTGCATGGCTGGGTGTTCGGCATTCTCGCCAGGCAACCATGCTGGTGGTGAAGTACTTCTGTGTGGAAACCAGAAGGCCACGCGGCCACGTGCCGCCGCGAGACGCACGGGCAGAGTCTGCCCACTTCGGGTCCGCGAGTTCGCCGTTCGCTCGGTGTTCCCGAACTCGGCAGGATCGTCACTCTCGGCTGCTACTACATGTCCAACTCCGAACTGTTGAGGTCTCAGTATGTCAGTTCCTACCGGTTCATACAGCTTCGGGGGTTTGGGAAGCGCTTCCAGAAGGGTCGGGTGCTCTCGGACTTCGCACTGGAGCGCGATCCTGTTGATGGATTGATCAGGATTTATCATTGATCTTAAGGCATTATCAGTCATTGGATGTCGTTCCTGGCGCCTGAGGCTGATCAAAATGGTCGAAGGGGGTTGGGTTGGAGAGCGTCTTCAACCCTTCATGGACAAGAACGAGGCGTGGAAGTGGAATGGCCATCGGGCGTGTCTTCAAGCGAGGACGTTCCCGGAGGGGTCATAGAGTGGGGTGCAGACGTGTAAATCATTCTCATCCTATCTCCAAACTGATATGGCAAGTTACCCAAGTTACCGTAGTTGGGGTTTGAACAATGACTTCCCCCCAGTGAGTCCTTGGTGATGTCCGGTGGTTTGGGCCACTGAGTGACCTGTTTGCTGCTCTTCCGTGGGACGGAGCAGCTGGTCTCTCACCCTCCTGTAGATAGTATCCAGAGGAGTGAGAAACTAATTGCACCAGCAGTCACGTGGAAGACGGGGTGCGATCCATGGAGGAAGTTGGGGTGCCACGCACGTCACATCCACTCGCTGGATGGGACTAAACACCACCCCGACATGTGACTCCTGGTGAATATTAGGTAGCTAGATCATAATTTGGTTTGTCCACTATTATAGGAGATGCAGGAAGAAGAGACGAAACACAACAAAGGGACGGAGCCAACAACTTGTGTCCAGGAACCTTGTGGGGTCCAGGCTGCCTGTTGAATAAACCTATAAAGACATATTGATCAATACAAGGTCAAGAGTCAAGACCTTGGAGCACTTGCTTTGATTCATGCATGGGCACTCAACCCAATAGCAATGGCCTGATTAAGCAACACTAAATTGAAGATGCCCAGGCCAGGCCAGGCCACCAACATCTTCCAATTTGGATTCGGTGTTTGTGCACGTGTGTTAGGCCTAATGTTTGCGTTCATTGGCCCGGTGCACATCACCAGCATCACAAAGCCTCAGAGTTTGTAGGGTACAGAAGATTTTTTCTCGTGAACTGTTTCACTTGAGACAGTTTTCAATGTTCATGGCATGTTCAAGGCCTAAAAATAGCTAAATAGATCTAAATAGCTTTTTTAGTAGATGACACAGATTCCATCACCTTCCAAAAAGGATGCTACGTTCGGGGCTCCTGGCCTTACTACTAGGAGCAAGGACGCTGCTAGGAGCTCAAAGGCTCATTGGCTTTTGGGGGTTTCCCACACGCTCGACGTCGTCAGGTGGCTGTGATTGATCCCAGCGAGTGCACCTGGGACTGCTGGGAGGCTAGGCTTCCAACCCCCGGCCTTTGTTGAAAAACCTTCGCCAATGGGCCATGAAAAAATGAGAATCAATGAGAAGAGGGCAGGCCAAGAGGTCCTGGGAAGTGGTAGAAAATGGTCGAAGCCTTGGAGTTGAGGGCAACACTCACCTGATTTCGACCTCTTTTCACCTGATTGCAACTCTGTACTGGCGCAGGGGTAGTGCCAGTCCCAGAGGATGTGAAATGATGTGAAGTGTTTTGCCTCCCAGGATGTGGTGGCAAGTGTGTCATCTTCTATCTAATCTAATTATGACATATCGGAATCATCCATTCTATCTCCAGGAAAGAACGATTTGCGCAGTTCTCCATCTGCTTCACTCCCCTGGTGCTTCACCTCGGTTTTGCGCTGCGCAGAAGCTCGTCCTCTTCTCACATCGCGTGCCAGGAGTTTAGTGAACGAGAAATGCAGTCGAGAGGTGTGAAGAGGGGGGCAAGGGCTCCCAGGACGGATGTGACCTGCTCGGTCACCTGCGACGCGGAGTGAAGAGGATGGTGCCGCGGAGTGACGGAGGATGGTGACGAATCAAGACATGGACCAGTCACGTGGTTTGATGGGGGGTGCGATCCATGGAGGAAGGATAGGGGTGCGATCCGCACGTCACATCGGGCCTTTACTGGCTGGGACGGTGACAAACCAGGCCCGACTCCATGTCACATCCAGGGGAATCGACATGGGTGACGAAGGGGAACAAACACACCGGTGTTTATGGTGTGATGGGCGCATGGCCCGGGATCGATGGTCTCATGGTGTTGATCTTGCCGCGTCTCCGGGGACACACGGAGAGAGCGTCCCGAAAACGCGCGGAGACAGCCGGGATAACCCGTCTGCATGGGTGTTGGGGCCGGTGTTGGGCCATCGACTCGGAATGCTAGTGAGGTGAAGCACGAGCAACTCTATTCTGGCGACATTCTCATTTGGCAAGTCGTTGGGTGCCTCAGACGCTCCATCCAGATCGATACACATCAACGCATGCGTCAACAGTCCGGCATTTGGAAACACATGTGAGCTCGAATTCATGAAGACGATATTACTAATTACAGTAATCAATTATGAACATTTATACGTGATATAGTTATTGTATAATTAATGGACATGGATAATCATGGAGATATGGGAAGATGGAGCTACCCGCCTCGACTTGGCCCGCCGCCGTGCCGCGCTCCTCCCCGAGACCCGACCTGCTGAACAAGAGGTGCTGAGCCTCAGGGCCCGCTGTATACCGCGTTCGTGTGGTTCGTTGATTTCAAGTATTCCTTGGATTCTGAACCTTTGACCGGGCATTTGACTCTACGGAATTTGGGGATCACCGGAAGCTTGATGTTTATGGACCTGGGGCAATTTCCAACCTCCAGATCAAACTATGGGAGCCTCCTCGAGCAGGATTGATGCGGATTCCGGGCCGGTTGTATGTGGTTCAGCCATTTGCGGTCGAACTGGCCATCTCTCATGTGGCCCTATAGCAATTTCTAAGACCAATCATAATATAGGTGCCTATATGTGTCAGCATCCCCCCGTTCTGAAGAACAATCCAACATTGGAGTCCACCATTTTAAGAATCGCTTTACCCCGCCGACGGAAGCGCGGACCAACCGGTCGCCGCTCCGGCCGAGGTGCCGTCGGAGGAGGGCATCGCCCCCGTGTGCGCACAGCGCGTCGGCTCACCGCGCGCGCCGATTTGGGTGAGTTGGATGTATAAAGGGCATCGCTACGAACGGAGCAAAGGGCATCGCTACTAGTAGCTCGTGGCATTACTAGTAACAAGAAGCTACTAGTCATGAGAAGGGAGACGTTCGCATGGGGAAATAGACCCCCTGGAAGAAGGGAAATAGACCAGTCTACGCATTGGCTGGGGGGTCTCCCTATTTGGGACCTTGGCCATCTCGGATGCAGGTATCCCATTCACACTGTGGCCGACCTATGTGCCAACCAGGCGCCCATCGCATTCACGTACTGAGCAGTTTTACGGATTGTTCTTCATGCAGATGGCCTCTCATGATGAATAAAATCTGATCATCCCTCACGGTGTGCGGATGGATGTTGGATTGACTGTTCCTGCGAGGTTTTTGGGCTCTGAACAGATTACCTGCTACACACCTTCGAATCATGGCACGCTCTTCGATGAAGGTTTTGTGCGCGGCTGCTGCGCTGGTAGCAGTGTACAACTTCTGCAACAGCTGGAGTTTTGTGCCTGGGCCATTGAGGAAGCACGCGCCTGTGGCTGCTGCATCGGCGGCGGGCGTGATGATGGCTCCAGCGGCCTTTGCCGATGAGATCGGCGATGCCGCTAAGAAGCTGGGTGACGCTTCCTATGCCTTCGCCAAGGAAGTCGATTGGAACAACGGCATTTTCTTGCAGGCCCCAGGCAAGTTTCAGCCCCTGAAAGCTCTGAAGGCGATTGATAAGATGATCGACATGGGGGCGGCAGCAGACCCCAAGCTTCTGAAGGCAGCAGCAGAGGCCCATCACAAGGCCATCGGAAGCATCTCGGGACCCAATGGTGTGACCTCCCGCGCAGATTGGGATGCGGTGAACGCCGCTTTGGGCCGTGTCGTGGCGTCTGTCCCCAAGGCAAAGGTCATGGACGTCTACAATTCTGTGAAGGACATCACTGACCCCGGTGTTCCTGCATACATGAAGTCTTTGGTCAATGGTGCGGACGCCGAGGCGGCCTACAAGGGCTTTTTGGAGTTCAAGGATGTGGTGGAAAAGCAGCCTGCAGTTCAATGGTAAAGTATTTGTTTCTCAAATGCCCTTGATTGTTTCTTTAAACTCATCTACTTTCTCAAAGTCCCTTGAGCAAAATGAGCAAATCTGAGGAACCAAGTGACCGCAGCCAGTGCTCCTGCCTCCGTGCCCACTGGAGACAAGATTGGCGTGGCTGCAAAGGCCCTTTCGGATGCATCCTACCCTTTCTTGAAAGAGGTGCAGGGTTGCAAAACACCTTTTGAGGTTGATTGTTTTCATATGCTTTCACTATGCATGCATGGCAAGCTTTTGTCAATGATGCATCATTTCATTTTCTCTAAAAAACGGCGTTTTGTTTGTTTGTTTTCCACTGATTCGACTGGATTCCGGTCGTGCGGGCCCTCAGGTGGACTGGCTGTCTGACGTTTACCTGAAGCCGTTGCCAGACACCACAGCCCCCAAGGTGATGAAGGCCATCGACAAGATGATCGTCATGGGCAGCCAAATGGACGGAAACTTGTTGAAGGCTGCTGCGGCCGCCCACCACAAGGCCATTGGCAGCATCGACGCTAAGGGAGTGACCTCTGCCGCCGACTACGAGGCCGTGAATGCCGCCATCGGACGCATCGTCGCTTCGGTGCCAAAGGCGACGGTGATGGATGTGTACAACTCCATGGCTGCAGTGGTAGATGGATCCGTTCCCACCAACATGTTCTCCAAGGTGAATCCTCTGGATGCCGTCGCCGCTGCAAAGGGCTTCTACACCTTCAAGGATGTGGTTGAAGCAGCGCAGCGCTGAGGCAATTCGGCTGTTGCACATCGGCCGAGGCCCCTGGTATCGAACCATGGGACCCCATTTTACAGGGCCATGGGTCTATACCACTTCGAGTATTTTATTTTTAATGTTCCATGTCCATGATGAGCTCACAACTACAAGAGGGGTGAGCCGACAAGGCTGTTGTGCTTGGCCAACAAAGGACATGGCGGCGTGCTGCGCGTTTGCTCCGCTGGACGTTTGATCGATTTAATGGGCTTTGATGGCATTTTTCACACGGTGGAATACTTCAATTGGTCACAGTCTATGAAAACGGATCAAAGCTGACTAGCGTAGACACTTCGTAGAGGGCCCATGCTGCACAAACGTGGCGATGTCTCCCAGGCAGTTGAATTCGGTGGCGCGGTGGCGCGGTCGGTCGCCCAGTGACCACTCGGAGCGAGCGACAGGTGAATTCGGTGGACGTGACGGTGCTGCTACACGACCGCAAGCAACCTTTGTGTGTCGATGGCATGGCCCGGGAGACCTGGGCAAACAGGGCATGGGGATGGCAGGAAGACGAGTCACCTGACGAGAAACATCGAGAAACAGAGTAGATGAGTAGTGTAGAGAGAAAGTGCTAGAGCAGCCCTGAAACATGCCCTGAAACGCAGGCAAAGACCATGTATTTGCAGGAGTCTGGTCAAAGACCAGGGCATGGTTGTCTCTGCTGGGCATGGTTGTTTCGCTGGATTTGCAAGACCATCGATCATCTACCATTGGCCTCCACAGTCTATCCATGCGGGACTTGGAGACCGGAACCTCAGATCGCACCCAGTCTCGATGCCAGGTGGCCAACGGCCATTGGGGGTATGGCCGGCATGGGTTGTTTCGGACTTTTCTCTTAGGGTTTTCAGGTTTCTTAGACTCATTCTCCAAAGAAGAAACCATAAGAACACGTGGGAACATGACGTTCTCGGTGTTATACTTGTAGCAGAACAGGAGACTGTTAAACAGAAGCCGGATCGAGTGTGTGATGGTCCACTTGCTGACATTTGATGGCCATGGGATGCCATGACGGACGTTGAATGTTTGGAGGGCAGCCCATAAGGGTGAACCTGGGGATGGATCGCCAGGACGCTCCGACTGCCAGGGGGTGTGAGGGGCCTTAGAGGTGTTGGTCGGGGACACACACACGCACACACACACACTGGGGTAGTGGTAGAGAAAGAACTCTCTACACAACGCTGGAAAAACCAGGTAATTACTTGTTGCCCGAGTTCATCCACAACTGCAGGAAAAACGACACATGCACCTGTGGAAAGGTAGGAATCATGGTACTTTGTGCTACTCTTCCTTTTGGGGTGGATGGATGTCCAAATGGACCTGCTCGATCTTTGTTGAGCAAACAGGGCAGAATTCATCAGAATTCACTTGGTTGGAATCAAGGTGTCACGGGTCTATGTTTTTTGTGTGTTCTACTTCGGATGAGTTCCTTTCCCTTTCCTAGTTGATTGAAAGATAACCATTGTAGACAAAACATGGCAAAGACACGCACACACGAAAAAGATCAAAACAGGAGCCGGACCTTCTTTCGTGGTTGTTTGTTCGCCTATTATGTCCTTGTGTTGAATAGACACTGTCGCGACACATGTCGCGCCTGTGAGGAAGCTGGAAAGGAGGAGCGTCCAGAGGCGGATACGGGCGGGAAACGGATGGCAGGGATGTATACTCCTATTATCTCCTATTGAAGTTTGGTCACCGTAAGCAGTGTGAACTGGATTCATGAGTGAAGTATTGACGATAGACAGATACCACTGATTCGTAGTTAAACATGATGGAAAGAAGACCATGACCAAGAGACGGTAAAGAAAAACCAGAGCCTTTTCCCCCAAAGAAGGCATTGGTACCCTTGATTGTACCCTCTGTTGATCTCAGAATCCTGTTGACCCATGATTCCGACCGCCAGGATGCGGCGTTGGCCTTCTCTCCGGCCGAGTTCGCCCGGGCGAAGGAGGGGGGTCGTTCACCGAGTTCGCCCGGCGCTTCGGTGCGGTGCCGCGAGCGCTTCGGTCTCCCAAGAAGAGACCGGCACCGGGCGTGGCATGGATCGAAAGACGACTTTCCTCGAAAAACGGTGGTTTTTGAAGGTTCGATATCCATTTTCCATAACGCTCGAGTGGCTGGACCATTTATGTTTGAAAACCACGTGCACCAATGACCTCCTATACCACTAAAGCATCACTGACCGACGCTTTGTTCGTGGATGCGGTCCCGCGAGGTTCTTGAGCGGTAGATTCCGATGTTTGGGTGATCAAAGAGGTTCCCAGTCTCCCATACTGGTGCATCAGGGCAACATGTGGTGCTCAGCGAAGACGCAGGAACAGGAGATTAAAATGGATTTTAGATGGTTCGGAACTCAGTGTGCAGGGGCTTTGATTGGTATGGCAGCATAGATTTGTTTGCATGTTTCCCTCCACCTTAGATCACTAGGCCCTGTGTCATGTGGCTTTGGGTTTTGTTGTGTTTCCCAACTCTCTCCATCCAACCCCCAAGCCTGAGAGGTCACAAGGGTCACATTGGATGACCTCCGATGGCCCTAACCAGTTCCAAGATGGTCCAAGGGGTCGAGACCAGGAGGTCTTGAAGATGGAGCAGCCGAGCAGGTCATGTGAAATCAGATGCGCTTTGCGCATGTAGATTGGACATAGTATTGGATATATACATACTGTATGTTACTTCGCGTGCAGAGCTTGTTGGGACTTAGGTGACAGTGGGTCCAGCAGAGAAATGTACCTTCTTCCAGACTTTGGTGGATGATCACTCACCGACCCAGGTGTTTCAAATGCTGCGGCGAGACCCGCAAAGGCCTCGTACCAACCATCCGGACTGCCGCCTTCGGTCCCTTAGGCTTGTCCAACATGTGACGCGGACCATTTGTTCGAAGTCGGGGGGCCCTCAGGTCGAAGTCGGGGGACGTCACGCGGCGGTCGTGACGCGGGAGATGGGCAGGCTTGTTGGACGGGTGCAGCCGTCACCATCCGACAGGTTTCCCATGATCAATCGATGGCCAAAGAGGGGCGAGAGAGCTCTTCTCCCAAGGGATCAGATAAACCGCGTTTGGTTTCTGAGGGAAGGTGGTTTATCGTGGAAGGCCAAACGCAGCGTTTCATCTTGTTCACATCAACTCAGACGAGAGGACACCCTGGGCACCTGGCCAAACATAGAGTTGGTGTGCACAAACAATTGTATATGGTGTCGACGTACCAACCGGGTGGATATCTATTGTCGAATCTAGCCTGAAGGTTTACCCGGTTGAGCACCATTTCTACTAAGGACCGCTTTGAACGTGTTTGGTATTGCTGTATATACTGTATTCATCATTGAAGCAAGCTTCGAGATTGGACCTTCACGAGAGGATAGACCATGGTTTGAAAACGGAAGGCCATGTTCCTCTATATATACTTCTATATACACGTGACATGGTTTTTGCGGGGTCCATTTCGATCTCGGGTATGTCTCATCCAATTCTCACCTGTGTGTGACCCCTTTGCCTGTGACATTTGATGGAAAGACGAACGCCCAGCAGCGACGAACGGAGCTCCCAGAGGTCGTCCCTTTGAGCCAGGAGCTACTTGTAGCGTCCGATCGCTCCTCCGTTCGTAGCGAACATTGCTCCTAGTAAGGCCAGGAGCTACTAGCAGTGTCCTTGCTAAGTATAATTCTGGACTCAAGAGTACTATAGAACAGGTCACTTTGATGTGCCGTGCTGCCGTCCGTGTTGGCCGCATCGGGTGGCAACACCCCAGAAAAGCAATACTTCTCGGAATCCGAAAAAAGATGTGGGTGTTGGCTCGACACACCCAGGTTCGGGCTAACAGAGAAGCCCGGGGAAAATGCAATTTGGCTATTTCATGCTCCTCCATCCTGCACAGCCGAGGCGTTTCCGGGGGGGGGCGTTTCTGGTGGTTCTCAGACGCCAAGACCCGTGTTTCCTGCAGATTGGGATTCCCCAAAAAGCCGAACACTTCGCAGGGTGCTCCCCACTGGATGACCTGGTTCCAATGTGCATCATCTCGTGGAGGTCACGGACTGTCACTGGTGTCATTCTTTCATTGTCCCAGAGGGGGCCTCACCACGTCAGTGTTCAAGCCTTTGGTGGAATATAAGCTGAACGGATGGCTTCAGGTCAGACCAGCACCTTATGGACAGTGGAGTGCAGAATAGCACTGGAAAGTAGGGGCTTCATGAAGAGTGACTTGCCAAGAAGTGTTTGAACTTCCGGGGTGAACATGTCCGTTCAAATCGACTGCCGCTCTTGATGCCCCCTAGGCCCCAAAAGAAGTAGAAGGGCTTTGGACATTGTCAAAATGGTTCCTCAAACTATAGATCGATTACTTCCAAGGTCATTTATCATGGGTAGTATCATCGGTTTATCTTGCATTTGTTCTCAAGATGAAAGGGTAACACATGGTAACACATAATCGATCAATCGAAAGGGCGATCTCCGCCTTCCTGGCCTCCAGTTCGGCACCGGTTGCGAGCGCCGATCTCGGCGAGCACGGAGGACGCATTGAATTCGCCACCTCTACGCGAGCAGACAACTCTGAAGGCCCAGCTGTCGACGTGTTTGAATAGGTCTGCATCCGAAGGCAACCTCTTCTTGGCCCAAACTGTAAACACCATCAGACCTTCTTCTTGATCATTTTGCCCATGGTGTCGACACGAGGTGTCGACACCGGATGTGACGAACCATGGATTTGCACAGGATCGCATGTTGGTTCGACGCAGCGGTTCCGCTGCTGCCCGGACGCGGACTCAGGAGCTGCAGCGGAATTTATCTTATTTGTCAACGACCACAAAGCGACAGTTGACCCTCCATGCTGTAGAGTTGTCAGGACCTCAGGATGCGACGGATGTTTGGAGACGAAGGGGCCGACATGAATTCGATGCATCTGCAAGGTGTTTCAGGGCCCTCTTCAGGGCGAAAGAGTGTTCCAAATGCAATGGAACTCCTGCTTTTCACGTGCCCACACCATCCAGTT